CCACCCCCCGGCCGCCGCCCGCGAACAAGGAGAGGAAAAATGCTGCTTTAGCATTTCTTCCTAAAATCAGCTCTGAAGTCCTCAGGGCAAGGACAAACCCAGGAAGAGAAGATCTGGAGGTTTCCTTTCCTCTCCTGCAGCCCCGAAGAGTAAAGCAGAAGGAAGGAGCGTGGTGTAAACGTGCCCAGCTGCTGGGCGCAGCCGGGGCTCCCGCGGGGGGTTAATTTGCCACGGCCCTTCTCTGAATTCAAGCTTGGTTGGGTGCTCTCCTAAAACTGGATCACACTAGGTGTATTGGGTAAGGTACTCCAAAATCAAGGTTAGAAAGTTTTTGTAATATCCATTTAAGAATGCAAAAGTTTTCTTATGTACCTGTGAAACGTTTACCACTTCCAATTTTGCTTAATTCAAATCCGAGAAGGGTGCTGCAACCAACTAATCAAAATGCATTATTCTAAATTGTTCTTTAAAAGCTGAAATGCAAATTGTCACATATTAAACAAAGAGAGAGAGAGAGGATTTAAGGCTCATGCTAATTAACATAAATGTTATGTTGCATGCTGACTTAAAAAGCAGAATTGGGAAAAGCATTTCTCAAAGCTATCAGAGTGCTGTGCCCCGAGTCCCGTAATAAAAGCAAAGACGTGCATTTTCACAAGTAAACTGCTCTCAGGTATCTAGAGGTCTTTGCTCTGAATTGACTTACAGAATTTTCTGAGAGAATGATTATTGTTGTAGCGACAGTCACACCTACCAGGTGCCTTTGCATGGACAACAGGAATGCATGGGCAAACTGTTGGCCTTAAGGTAAGGGAACACCTATGAGGGAGGTGTGGTTATGTTTTTTGCCAGTCACTGTGAAACAGATGGTGTTTTGTTTTGTTTTTTTTTAAGTGTTGCCACAGAGTTAATATTTTTCTGAACAGCAGCTTGACTTTTTTTTTTTTCCTTGAGTTCTTGCTTCATTGTGCTTTCATCTCTTATCTGGCCTTGCTGAAACTTGAGCAAATATTTAAAACAGTGTGTGAGGAGACAGGTCATGGAAAAGCCAAAGTTTGTGTTCCAAGTACTGTAAAATTTTGAATGGAGTAAGTCTGAGGTTTTGTGGTGCTTTCTACAGTAGACTGTATATTTGAAAAATTCTCGATATTAGTAGACTCTAAAACCTGCTGTTTGCAGCACTTGAAAGTAAAGTCAATGTGGGGCGTAGATGTGCTAATTTGGTAGCACTTTTGTGATTTTGTATTGCATTATCTTGCACTTAACCCCATGTGCATGCCATGTGTCAGCGCTGAAAGATTTAAGCATTCACTGGAGTTTTAAATAAACACTAGATTATGTGCTCTGATTTTTTTTTTTTAAAGGGTTCTAGCATTGGGGGAGCAAGCCCTTTAGACATAATTGCATTAGGACTACTGCATAGCACGTATGAACTTGCTCTTAGCATTTGTGAACCCTTTGGGAGCAATCTGAGAGACCTCCTGGTGTGGAAGAGTCCACTCGGTGTCATTAGCTTAGAGCAGCAGTAAGTCCCATAAGTGTCAGAAGGCTGGTGCATAGCAGGGATGAACTATCATCACGTTGGCACCTAGTATTAGATGTTACTCGCAGAGGAACTGAAGCCTGGTGTCAAAATTTCTATTCTTCATTAGCAAAGTAATGGTGCAATGCTTTCTTTGCGTGACAGGTTCATTGTAAGAAGCTGACTAATAATACTAAATTGTATTTGGCTTAAGCAATGAACTCCATGGGATATATTTCCTACACAAAGCTTTTCTTTTTATTTGGTTTTCTTTTTCCTCTCTTCTCTTCTCTTCTGTACACTTTCTCCTGACCAGACTGGAAGTAGAGTGGCTAATGAACTGTATAATCTCTTAAAAAGTTACCACATTAAGTGGAAGAAGCTAAAAACACTAAGCTATTGCACAGAGCGTATTTGTGAGCCCTAAGGAATGTGCAGAGGTGGCAATCCCCGACGTGTTACGCTGCACACTGCAATGTCTGTCCTGACATATCTCATGACTTCTCCATGAACCAGCGAGTCTGCAGGGACAGTGTGCCCGCACGGGCTCTGGCACGTGCTAAGGGCCCAGGTGCGCTTGCTCTCCCTGCCGGCCCTGCGCTGCGCTCAGTGGAGCTCGTTCCAGGGCATCATCGCTGCCGTTATCCTGTGTGCCAGCTACACCACCCTCGCTCGGGCTTCACGTTTCCATTTTCCCAAGCAAATCTACAGCCTGTGATATGCGGCTGACAAAACATTATATCAAATCATTGAACTGTTATGTCTGCTGTAAATGATATAGCTGAAGCTGAGTTCAGTAGGCCTCTTTAGGCAGGTCTTTCTCATTTTGAAAGGTTTGAGGCTTCACTGAGAGATCAGACTGGACATCAAACGATAGTGAACTGTATCTGAAACTCTAGTTTCTTAGTGGATCTTTTTTTCAACTAAAAACACATTAAAAAGCCACCCACTGTGACATATTCAGAAGTCAAGATAGGTGAGTTGTCTTCCATGATCTACAAAAGAGATCAACAACCAACCAGCTGCCAGGCTGCTAATCTCTCCCAGGAGTTCTGTAGAGTATCAGGGGTTGGTGGGGCGGTGCTGGTCGCTTCTGAGGCTTTCCCCTAATCCCATAGGAGAACTAGGTGACAGGAAATATTACTGGATCCTGAAATCCAAAATCTTTCAATTCAGCTGACTAAAATTCCAGTGTCTAAGTAATCCTACCCTCTTTTCAACAGTTAATATGCCCCCTTCCCCCCACAAAAAGTCATAGCAAATCTGAAAACAGAACAGGAGGTAGAGGGAGGAGAGCTGAAAAGGGCTGTTCAAGACTTACCGGTGTGTCAGTGGGAAGGAAAGGGCAAATGGCATCTCCACCAAACTGTTTGTGTGGCTGCAAAATCGTGCTGGAGACTTAAGTTTGGGTTTCAAAACCTAGTTTGTAGGTATGACTTTATTTATTTATTTGGTCACAAACGTTTAATTTCAGTGATTCTTGTAGAATTGAGGAACGTAGAGTCTTGCAGGCTTTCTCCTAAGTAAGCTCTACCCAAAGGCCTGTTGCATCAAATACGTGTCATTGCTTGGTTCTTTTACTGATTGTATGTTGCCAAACAGTTTCCTTTGCCAAGAGTATGCTTTTGTAACAATTTTTGCTTTTTGGCGTGGGGTGTGCTTGCTGCAGAAATCTGTGAAACCGAAAGAAGTTTAAATGTTCTCTGATGCCTCTGTAAATATTAATAGAGATTCTATCCCTTCAAATTTCCTATTTTTTGACTTGCAGAAATAGTACAAATTTCAAGCCAGTATCCTTTAGCAGGGAGATCTGTGTACAGAAACTATACAAGTTAATGCAAGGAGTTTTTAAAACCTGAGGTATGCTAACAATTGCTTTTCTTTTCTTTTTTTTTTTTTTTTTTCAGGATTGGTCTGGCAGTCTTATTGTAGCCTCCTTAGCTGGTGCTTTTGGGTCATCCTTTCTTTATGGTTACAACCTCTCTGTAGTGAACGCTCCTGCAGTGGTAAGTGGGACAGACATAGTGGGAATTTAATATCAGTAGAGAGCGTCTGTGCTCAAATAGTCTACGTTGTTCAGCGTTCAAATTTTATAATCCTCTTAATGTGGTAGAAGAGGTTAAATAAACTATTGTAACTATTGTTTGCTAGAAAGATTCTTTCTGCTGCTTATGGGGTTTTCAAATGAATTCAATATCTGACAGGAGATTAAACGCTGCTGTTGAGCTGAGTGTGTGTGCATGATTTCTTTTTCGCTCTTCTTAAGCCTAGACTAACACTAAATCTTCTTATATATTTTTTTTGTATGATAAGGTATTTTTAATGTCTCTCTGATTACTGAATATTCAGTGGCTATGCACATATTCGGTAACTTTTGTTCACGCTGTTCTGTTCTGGAGAGTTGCACAACATTTCATTCCCACACTATGGAGACTATAAATAATGTCTCTGGCTTCCTCTTAAGTAGTGGGCCTCCCCTTCTGCATTACATGGTGATGCCTCGTTTGGCCGGGCATGTGAAACTGTTGCATTGAATATGTGTTGGCTGCAAAGTGTGGAACACATTTGAGGAACAGAGTGCTGTAAGATCAGCCTGCATTATTTGGATTTGATTAAAATATCTAGTACTGCAAATCAAAATCAAAATATTTTGTGATTACACTGGCCATCCAGAGAGCCTCTTAATTCAATCAAGCGCAGCAGAAAGCAATTCAATGGAACTGCAAGCAATACCTTTTTAAAAAGAAGTAATTAGTACATTTTGACACCTAACTGTTGAAGTTATATTTCCAAAAAGATTATTTCCAAAGAAAGAATCTTTCTTTTTAGCTCCTTTTTTAATTGCAGTTTGTTACTGAAATGTGTGACTAGGTTTCCACCTGAACACCTTGGCTATATTAAAAATGGATGCAATATTTATACAAATAAGGAAAGAATTTTAAAAATTTGTTTCATATGTGTATTGTGTTTGATAAATTGACAACTAAGAAGATTATGAACAAACTCACCCTGTAGGAAGTTACAATTGCCTACTTGGTAGCTTCTGGGAATTTTCTTGAAGTTTTCGATATCTTTTGTAACGATAACACAGGGCAGACAGATTTATTGTATTATGACAGTTCACTTCCCCTTGCAGTCATCAGGAGGGAAACGTGACTTAGAAGAAAGTGAACTTCTAAGAGCAATGGTATTGATTGTACTGATGATATGTTTCCTTCCTCTACAAAGTCAGTACTGTCAATATAGCAGTGAGAGTGATCTGACTTCTAAATCTTTTTTTTTTTTTTTTCTTTTCCAATGGACTGTACTGGTAGTTACAGTTCTCCTGCCGTTTTCTGTAGGAGTGAGAGAAAGAAAGGATAGTAGGAAATGCCGCTTGGCAACATGCAGATTATTAGATGTGAATCATGTAATAGATTACAGTGGCACTAAAAGTGCAGGTGGAGACGTCAAAGATGCAACCGTATCGCAATTAATGCTAAATTCTAAGCATCCTGGGTGTAGCACTTCCAGCACTGTCCATTTTTGATTGAAATCTTAACTGTGGCTTTTGCACTGAAACTAGTCACCATGTTGATGGCTTTGGTCATACCATTGACAGGTAGGCGTGAAATCTGCCCTGTTCTAGTGAGTTGCTGCAGTGGTTGTGATTGAGAACTTAATGTCTTCCTTATTCATGTTAATGTCCCTTACCTTAGTTGAGGTTAAGGAGTAGTCTTACTCATAGGCACTACTGAGAAGGAGTATGTGGTTGTCCTTATTCAAGAGCAGAAAGCCCCTGTAGTCTCTGGTCCCATCTTTCAGCCCCAGGATTAAGCTATGCTGTCCATCTGCTTAGCACAGGCCACTTGCCTGACCGTGTTCCCTGAGCCGCAGTGACCAGGTTAAGCGAGGATCTGGGCTCTGTCCGTATGCATAGTGGGGAGAGGGGGAGCTGCACCAACACTGTGCTTTCTGCAGCACAAGAAAACGATCCTTTGCTCCATCATTTTTTCCCCTATGCGTGGCTGTGTGTCAGCAAGATGACCCTTTGGGAATACTGATGTGACATGATTGAGAAAACCATAAGGAGGCTCCTTTTAGCTGTAGATAGATAAGCTTTTATAAAGGCGCTGTCTATATTGGGAATGCAGTAATGCCTTGAAAGTAGTACGCTGAGTGAGTTAGAAACCTGACAGGGCAATTAACTTGAACTAACTTGTTCTAATCCTGTGCAATGTAGAGCCTGCATTAGTAGTACTGAGCATCTCTGTGTAGGTTACTGGATATCTTCTGCCCCTTTTTACTTCAGCACAATTCCTACTAGTGTCTTGAATCATTGAGCCTTAGAGAAGGGCCTGTTTGGGGCGGTAAGAGGTATTTTTAAAGTGCTTGATAATTACTGTTGCCTAAAGAATGGGGTGTTTCCAGGACACTGGAAGTGAACGTTATCACTGAGCTGTGTGGGAAAGTTCATTTCAGACTGAAACTCCAAAGAATTGCGATTGTAAATTCTTGTGGACGTTTCCTTTCTGTGCTCAAAGTTATGCCAGCTCATCAAACGGGAAGGAAATTCCCATGCGGTTCTCAGTGGTGACCCTTAGTGCAAGTCATCTTGTCAGGTAAGAGTGTCAGTCAAACTTCCTCATTGTTGCCAGGGAGAAGTAAACAGCACAAGATCTGCACGGAGCTGTCTTGATTCCTTCAACTGGTGCAGAGTGGGGGAAAGAGATCGATTCCCATTCTGCTCCTTATCTTCCTAGGAGAAAGAGCAATGACCCATCACAGGCTCGCGCAGTGCTAGGTCATATGAGAAATCTAGAATTAGCAGGTTTTATTGGCTTGTTCGTTTTATAGACCATGGGTCTATAAAACTGCGGGGTGTGAAGTGTGGCTAGTGGGACTGCCTAGTGTAAAGCATTTTCAGAAGTTATCAAACATGTATGGGAACCTTTGGCAACAGCAAGACAAATGTTTTGGGTGAATATAAGTTTGAGTGAATACAAGCTGCCTTTTCCTGAACTACATTTTTAAATTCATTATATGGACTGCTTCTCAGCAAGGTCTGTGGAACAACAATACAATGATGTTCTTTGTGCAGGAAGAGAAATCTCTGCTGCTTATTGCCACACAGTTATTGTTTTCCTCCTGCTCAAGTTTGTGTTTCTACATTCCTTAGACTTGATTCTGGAAAAGTGATTGCAGAGATGTTATAGCTGTTTGAGGCAATTGGATAATCATCACTGTGTGTGAGCGGCCCTCAAAACTCAAGGTCATTTTTCTTCTCTAGAGACTGGTTCTTCTCTCCCCTGAAGCACATTACTTGGAGTGCTAAGGAAAGCTCCCTTGTGTTTCTATCCCTAGCACTGCTACCTTAATGAACTAAGGTGGCGAATATGAGATATTGACACCAATCAGCCACAATTCCTTATAGGCTTTGGTTAGAGGATAGGATTTTAGAAAAAAGGTTTGTGCTTTTTAGCATTATTCAGACAACTGATTGAAATCCCAAAGGATTTCACAAAATTCGGTAGACTCCAAAGGTTGTGTTGGATTTATCTTGTATTTTTCATTTTTATTTTCAAGTGCAATTCCTCAAAACCTATATGTGCTAATAGATTCCCGTTTGCTGGTAATGGAAATCCAGACAAAGGTGATGTGCAGCTGCATATCAGCATGTTTAACTGTTCTTCCTGAGTGTTCTAGTTTGTACTGTCTTATCTTGAATACTTCCAGTTATTTGGTGTCTCCTTGTGAACAAAGCTCTGTTGAGAGCTACTTTACAAGCAGATTAGTTATAACACAATGGGAAAATAATTTGCATACTATTTTTAGTCATTAGCATTAGCAAGAAATGCTAATAGTGTTCTAAAAATGGATGCAAAGAGAAGAGGTTACTATCAGAAATGATTTTCAAATAAACAAGATGATGTCTGAATCTAAATTTAATCTGAGTATTAGTATAAAAGAGAGAGAGGATGTACTACTTGGCTTAATGGCAGATTCATTTGGACCTTCACTGTGGAATTCTTTTAAATAGAACAAGCACCAAGTTGACATTTTTTTTTCTCTAAAAATGTGCTAAATGGAACTTTCTAGCTCCAGGTTGTTTTTTGTTTTTGTTTTAAGATATTTAGACTAATTTAACAATTAAGAAAATAATTAATTTCTTAGCTAAGGAATGCAAATCTTTTGACCAATGTAACAATACTAAACATATTCCAATCTATCCTTCCCTCCACCCCCCCTCAAAAAAAACCCAAACCACTAAATAAAAATACAGAAATACAAGACATAACTGTTTCACTCTGTATATGGTTTTGTGTTTACTCGCACCTTTTCACATTTTTTTCTGTCTGTTTGTGCAGAGGCATATAAAATAGGATGGGAGAAATAAGATATCCCTGTCTTCCTTTTAATTCAGGGCACAATGCCAGAAACTTGACAGAAGGAAGACAGTATGCGGGATGTTCTACCTTCACCTTTGTCATGTACTTTGCATGTGGAGAAGCGATGCTTCAAACTGAATGAAATCCTCAAATTAAATAGTCTACATATACAAGGCTGGAATGTTTAAGGTTTGAAATCCCTGGCCTAAAGAGGGAACGTATGGTGGTAGGTTTATACCACTGACTGCTGTCCCAGGATAATTTAGTAACGATGACATGATGGAGGAAATCTGAGAAGACACCAGGGAATGGTGCCAGGATTAAACTTTTAGATACAGTAGAGCTTGTCTGGGAGCAGGGATGTAAAACAGTTCAGGATGTTGCACGAGAGTGCAGTAGCAATCGTGAGGCAGTTACAGCTCTGTAAGGAACATCGAGCCCCCAAGATGGCATCGTACCTTGGCCTCATTTCTAAAGGGGAACTGCATAAAAATAAAGAAGCTCGACTAAAAAGAAACTAAATAGGCAACATCTTTGCAGATGATATAGACACTATGTGAACATGTCATACTAGAGGTATGACATCTTTAAATTTTAGACAGATGAAGAAACTCTGGCATGATTAAACCTCAGGGTGAGGGAAGTTGTTAGAAGGCAGAAGACATCCTCCAAAAATTTTGGTTGTACTCTCATGAGGAAAGTAGAAAAAGAATGTAAACTCTGACGTATTAAATGCTAAAACCGTGAGCTGGCCCTGGAGTTTGGGGATAGACTTTGAGAAGGCTTAAAAAATAATAATTTCGATTTCAAACAGAGGGCTTTAAGATGTAGGGCCAATAGAACAAGCTAAAAAGGGATGTTCAGAAGATAACAACAAGAAAGTAAATTAGTGTTTTGCATTGGAAAAGTTTGGGGAGATTCCCATACTGGAACCCTTTTTATGTGGCATGCATTGGAGACACCATGAGAAGTATCAGAAAGGATATGAAATAAAATTACTGATAACTTTAGAACGAGTTGAACAAATACTAAGGTATTTTGGCAAAGGACTGATGAAATAACTCAAGGTACAGGCCATGTATCACAGTTCACCTTCTTTTAAATGGCCTCAGCTGCAAAGGAATTGAAATGGATAAAGTGACTTAAAAAAAATGTGTTTTGGAGGGGAAAAGTTGGAAGATGCAAGCCAATGATTAAATATTTGTACCTGAGAACGTAACAGAAACTATAGTAGAACAGTGAGAAGTTGGGGAAAAGTCGACATGGCTTTTGTGATGGAGAATCGTCATGCCTCAGGAATCTTTTGGAGTTACCTAAAGATTCAGGGGGCACTTGGGCTTTCCAAAGATACTCTGGAAGGGCCCTTACTGAAGGCTCCTAAGGAAATGAAGATGCCATGGCCAAAAAGTGTAGATCTTGGTTTTTCCTGTCTTCTAATTCTCCAGCTATCCCAAGTCTCAAGTTTTCATTTCTTAAGGGAGGCAGCTTGTTTTGTAGAATGACTTGTATCTGGATCTTAGGTGTCTGATTTCATGTTTAATACACCTTTCATTACTGAAAAAGAAACTGCTTGCCTTGTTTAGCAGCCTGAACTTCATTCAGAAAGCAGCTTACGTAAATTTGAAGGGGAGAAAATGGAACGTATTTATAAAAGTGACTTGTGATTCTCTAACAGTGTGTCCAAGCCAGCTCCTTTGGACTGATAATGTGTTTTTCCCCCAATCAGTATGAAACCAACAGCTGTTAGCTCTTGCTTCCCTCCTCTAACAGATATTTTTTTGGCTGTAAATTCTTTGAGGCACAAATGTTATCTTTTATTGCTTGGCTTAGTGAGGCCTTGATTTTGTATGGCAGCCAGATGCTGCAGTATCATAAATATGACATAAGTGTAGACATAACCTCCCTTCTTCCCTCCATCCATGAACTCCCAATTGTTTTCAGTTCACTCTAAATTTAATTAAATAATTTGCTATAAAAACACTCATTTTTTAAATATTGTCCCTTTTGGAGGGGAGGACTAGTAAAATGCATTTATTTTCAAACAGATTTGAGATCTGGACTGAAACATAAAATAGAAATAAGTTAAATGTCTGTTGCTTCATGACGGGCATTATGTAGGCTTTCACTGAAAGGATTTCTACTTCTGTAACTTCTAAAGCAACTTTTAAAATTTTTGATCAAATTCCTTAAGTTATATATGAACCAGAATGTATTCATACGTAAAGTGGTAGAAATGCCAGAAGATAGATTGCTTCATTACTGGCATCAAATTCCTGGTCTCATTTTACAGCTTCTGTTTTAGTGCAGTTTTCATGCACTGGAACAGACATATTTCTTTTTGGTGCAAAGATAGAAAATGCATTTCATCTATTATGCTCTGTCATGATTTGGTGTTTGTGTTGTAAGGCAAAAGGCTTAAGTTATTTTCCTAGATGCTTATAAATACTTTATAACTACATATTCCTTTAATGAGTCCAACATCTGTTTTATTATCTACATATATCTGCCAATCATTGCAGTTCTGGGACTGGACTGAGACTTGAGGCATTGTCCTGCTGCTGGAGGTGGGCTCTGCTGCCTTCTGCCCCTTGGCAGTCCCAGGAGGGTGGGTTTTTTGCAGGCCGTCTTACATGGGGAGTGAGCCTGAGGTGGGGACACTGAACTCGCCCCTTTGCTTCACAAAGCTGGCTTATACGCAGAGAGCTGCTGCCTATGAAGGTCTTAATTTCTGTCTTTGAGCAAGTATTTGAAGAAATCCTCTGTGAAAGTGCTCATTTTCTGTGGTAGCTCATCACTGGGGTGTTTTCTGCGTATGTGTGTTGGCACAGATTTGCTTGAGCAGCAGAAGGGCAGTGAGGCCAAATAAGGGTCAGTAGATGGGAGAAATGCTGAAGACGACTTGTGCTGCAGAAGGTGCGTGTACAAATATGTGCAGAGTGTCTTCATTTTAAATTCCCTCAAAATACATGTAACATACGGCTTCTGATGCTTTGTCCTATAAGTCAAGCCTCTAACTCATCTCTTCGTGATGGTTTTGTTGCCCTCTGGTAGGCGTTGGTGGCAGCTGCCTTCTTTACTTCTGGGTCGCCAGTTTCTGCCTCGTCACCAATCTGTTCAAGACGTTTTTGCCTCTACCTGCTGCCAGGGCCTTTTTCTTTCCTTCCATCTAAGGATTTCTTTATTTCAAAACTATTGTTGCTGTAGATCTGTGGAACAAGCAGTAAAACAACTTGTACTTAACAGAGGGGGCCGCTGAACCATTAGCGAGTAATTCAGCAAGTGGATTAACTTAGAGCAGTTAGCATTTAAGCATATGTGCCTGTTCTCTTTTTATAAGTTATGGCAAATTCCAGGCATTACAGTTTTGCATAGCATGCCCCAAAAAGCATTAGTCTAGCACCTCACTTGCTTCAGGTTAAGTGTACATATGTGGCTGGTCTGTGAAGTGCAGCTGAGGTGCAATGACTGTCAAGCTCGAGTGGCCCAGTCCTGTGCCTTAATCCTTATTCAGGCTGAAACGTTTATATGTGTATACACACGAGGGCTACCGCAACTGTTGTTAACGTTGTACTGAAAACCTAAATTGTATTACCGCTGCTTTACAGGAGTCTCTCTTTATAAGCCTCTTCTTCGTTCCTGTCTACCTGTGTTTTCTTCCACCTTGTTTTTGACTGACTGGTGGTTAAAAGTATGTATGCTTTGACAGGTTTGGGTAATCTGCATTAGAGTTGCCTCTAGAGGTGAGGCTCTGCTTTTTAGAGTGGGGGTGTGGAGGGGTGATTTCTGCAAGCAACCTCCTGCCTCTTGTTTTATTTCTATCAATTGTGTTCTTAAAGAGTTTTGTTTTTTTTTTTACAAGTATTATTATGTATTCATTTCCAGTACATCAAGAAGTTTTACAATGAAACCTGGCAAAGAAGATATGGCTTCTCGATGGATGAAAGCACACTAACACTCCTCTGGTCTATAACTGTCTCTATTTTTGCCATTGGTGGCCTTGTGGGTGCCATTATTGCTACCCCAATTGTGAAGTTCTTTGGACGGTAAGTGTGTTGGAAATTACTTTCTAAAGCGGTTCTTTACTTTGGTCTCTCTAAAGAGACCCACAAAACTCTGAAGAGCTCTACTAGATTGCAAATCTGAACATTTTCAGATTATAAACACTAATTTCTAAGAGTTCTAAATTTCCAAGAGTAAAATTAGTACCTCTGACCTTAATATGCATCATTTGAGTTTGCAGAAGCCATTTGTTCTGAATTGGCAGTGGGTTAGGATACGACCAAGGAAGCTGAATAGTCAAGAATGCAAAAGAAAAATGCCGTAAATAAAAAAGATTTCATAAAGGATAGGCAAATTCTTGTTCCATCAGTCTGCTGAGTTTCTCACCCTACACAGATAAAACTATCAACATATCTCATTTACTTCTCAACAGTATTTGTTGCCTTTTGTAATAAAAATGGTGGGTTTTTTCTTCTCTGTGTTAAATTAAAATAGAGTTTGAAGAGGCAGACTGGGGGGAAATTCTTGCTTCTTACTTCCGTGTTCTTAGTGGCTCCTTCCCTGCTCGATACAATGCCATATTTGACTAATGGTAAATCTCAAACATAGAAAATCGTGGTATTTTAGGGATGTTTGTGTCGATGTGTGTTTACTTTTCCCCAGTGGGTAGCAACTAGATATTTTCCGTCAGATTTTTGTTTTGTATGATTTTCCAAAGAGAACTTTGAATGGAGTTTGTAATTTTCCTATGCTTAGAAGGGGCTTAAAAAAAAAACAACACTGTAACATGAACTTTAACTGCCCATTGCACATTTGGCATTGATTTAATTGTAAGTTTTTTATTATTGGATAATTTATGTTCAGTTAAATTACTGAGTAAAGTCATCACAAAGGCTCAAATATATAGGCATCCACATCCTCTGTTCTTGCTTGTATTCTGTACTCTGACTTTTTCCACCACTTACTTTATAATTTGCTCTCCCTTAAGTCTAATTGTCATCTCCCTCGAATCCTCTGTTTAGATTTTTTTTTCCCCACATTATCTTCAGATATTCCTCAGCTCATCCCACATTTCATTTTTCACCTCAAACAGCATAGTTTCAGGTTCTTCCGTTTCATGCTTACAGCAAATCTTTATTCCCTGCTCTGTAAATCTGTTATCCACTCTAATTTAGTTTATTCTGTCTCATCAATTCACCACTTGATTTTCAGTTCTTAAGTATTTTTCATAGTCACTTCTTTTCCAGGCTTCTGTCAACTCATCAATTTGGCTTTTACACACTTCTTGAATATATGAAACTATTCCTGACTCATACTGCTTAATTCCTGAAAGTGTCACTGAATGTGCTGTGTTTCATTTAAAAAGTGAAGTAAAAAGTGAGTTCATAGAAGATTTGAATTTTTGGTGAAGAGTGGAATGGCTTTGTGTGCGAGTTTGTTAAAGTGGTGCCTGATGTCACTTGTGTGAATACCACTTTGCTGGGTGCAGATTATATATCCAGGGCAGGGTTTTTTAAGCTTTGGTGGCTCTGTCCCTGTTTTTTATTTTTATCTCTGTGAAATCATGAAAATAGCTCTCTTACAGATATGGTGTAAGAGTATTTGATTAGAGGTTGGAAGGAATTGCACCTCTTGCAGACAGACACAGGGTAAAGGCTGCTCATCAAAATGTGATTCTTGAGTTTGCTGTTCACGTTGCAATGTGTTTGTCTGGTGTAGGAAACCAGGCTGACATATCAGAACAGTAACTAAAGAGCACATTAAGAAGTGTTGACAGAACAATAAAATAGCTGTACTGTAAAACTGTTCATGCGTCAGTTGGAGAATTGTAGGTATGGTGAAGCAGTGCTCCACTAACACTGAGGTAGAATAATGAAAGAAAGGGGTTCAAAAGTGTTAGTTAGAAATAATGTATGACTTTAAAAAGAGCACTCTTGAATCATAGTGCTGTAAGATTAATAACATAACTTTCAAAACTGATTTACATTACCAGATGCCTAGGTCCTATTTACTTCCAGAGAGGTTCAGGGTAAAATTTTCAAGAAGAACCTTTATTCATATAAGCAGAAGTCCCATTTTCCAGTGTGGCTTTGGCACTTGATAATTTACATTCTCTCCTGCTGCTGAAGAGCAGCTGCTTTTGCAGATCATGAACAGCGAGTGCTGTGCACTGAGGGCTGCCGAGGCCACTGCTAGAGAGGAGCTTGCAGTTGAGGGATAAGGCTTTACATCTAACCTGATGAACCATTTTGAGTCTGAAGAGATTAAAGGAACTTATCTGGATTATTTTAGTAATGCTACCACTTCCTTTATTCGGAAGTGAGCTACTATACTTGAAGTGGTGATCAGTATTCATCCCATTAGTGACTTTGACAGCTATTTATTTAAACCCCTAGTTTCCTTACTACACTTGTTGCAAAAGGCACCGTATTTGGTCCCTAGGGTGAGCTTCTAGAGATCCTTTCTTTTTTACTGAATTTTGAGACAACAATATATTTTTGAAGAAATTATAATTCTACTATTTTCCTAGTTTAGAATTTTAGACAAATAAACAGATTATTAACTCCAATCCCTAAGTAAAATCAGTGCAGGGCTGAGACCTGGTAGGACTCTGTTCTGGGCTCCCTGGAGCCTGCTGATACTATGAGAGTAAGTGATGAATTTGAAATCACGAGAGATTAATTGTCTGCAATCTTTGCAAAAAGCCAAGGACAGTTCTGAAGAAGAGATTCTCAAGTGTTCTCAGTATCCAAAATATCTAAAAAAAGGAAAAAAAATTCTAAAATTTAGATCTATTTTTGTGTAGCTGATGGGTAAATTCTCCGTCTTGACTGAGACGCTAATACAAATTGTTTTTTCTACTCAGTAAACAGCTCTTCCCTTAAGATGTCTTCCATTGAGTACAGAACTGGAAATTGCATTTTTTTTTTTAAAACCCCCAGCCAGTCTCAAGAGAGCCAGTTTTTAGTACCAGGTTGCAAAACTTATCCTTTGGCTTAGGATATAACTGCTTGTGACAAATCCTCTGTGTTCAAACTATTGGAAGTTTTTGGAAGCAACTTCCTGTTGGAATGGATGCATGCACTTCTTCCCCAAAGCTTTATTTCTTTTGGCTGGAGAAAATATGGGATGGTTCGAGTAGAAAGAACAGGCTTCACTTTTAAAGTGGTTGCTAATGCAGTGTTTTTGGTGCAAAAGCTGCGGCAGAAGTGGCTGGGAGTGAACCAGGTGATTAATTTAAGTATGATTTAAAAACAAAGCAGTGACTATCTTTTTGGTCCCACTTGGGGCATCCCAGGGCTGTCTTCAGAGCTACTGACTGACTGCATGCCTGTGAGCTGGGACAGCGCAGTATGTGGGAGTCTGGACTGCAGCCTGAGCACAGGCTCCCTTTCCTAGCTCTGATGCTGTTTTGCAGGCTAGCTTTAGGTCGAGTCCTCTTCGCTTCCCTGTCCTCTATTTACCCAGTTACCCAAAAAGACGCTGATGTGCTCCATAACCTT